CGGGTTCTGTAATTATTAACGGGTTCGAGTTCGAATATGCTTCAAACCCGACCTGACCCGACCCTTACGGAGCACTAGTCTAGAAAACCATGAATTCTATCAAGTAGCCAATGGAATTCCTTGCATATAACAGCCAATTAAAATTTAAGAATTTTCTGTAAAACATTCTAAATGAAACGATTGACAATTTCACTTGTTGAAGTTTTAATACTTGCGCCTGTATCTAAAATATGACCACTCAATTTTTATAATAAAAAATCCCGTTATTTATTTCAACGCAAATATTTGTATCGATTTTAATATTAAAATGAAAAAAAAAAATAAAATTATAATTTCTCTTATCGGATACATCAATAATAGCCACTATTTCCTACGAGACTTTATTTGCATTTTCTGGGCGTACATTTCCTGAAAAAAATGACCGGAAACCCAAAAATCGGATTATAATTGAATTTTTTTTTTTTTTATTAATGAAATCTGCTTTGATATGAAATTTAAAATTTTATTAAAAATACTATTGGATCCATAAGATATTGTGATTTAAAAATATTAATTGATTACTAATTATTGCGATAATAAGTCGTGTCTAGGTCAATACCTTTTTTTAATGTCATAGAATTTTATACTTACGATGAACACTATTAGCAATCATAAAACGAAAAAGTTAAAATTTAAATGAGATTATATAATTGTTGTCCGGTCATTTTTTTTTGAATGCGTTGTAAATGAGCAAAATAAAAAAAATAAAAACTATACCATATTAAATTGCAAAGTTTCCTGGTAAAGAAATGATAGGATGTGAATATATTCCATTACGACTGTTTTTTTTCTCAGGTAAAATAAAATTTCTAAATTCACTGAATTAAGAACAAATGACGTCACGTAAATTAAAAAAGTTCAAAATTGAACTTTTACAGGAACGTCAAAAACTAAAAAGGGAAGATTTAGAAATACATTAAACTTATGAGAAAAAGTATGTCATAATGATTGTGTAAACGAAAAGGTTTAGTTGTTAATTGATCGTTTGATGTAGAAGAAAAGGTGTTGAAGGTATGGTTGTGGACGATTGATGATTTTGAAATTGCTCTTGAAGAAGCTGCTGCTTAAGATAATAGATTTTCTAATAAAAAGAAAAACGCCTTTTTAAATTTACTCCTTCTAAATCTTTGGATAATGTCGTGCAATTGATCCTGTTCATGATGTGGCGCTGGCATTGAAATTAACATTAACAGATTTATTTTATTTTTTTTATTACTTGCCAAAAATTCGATTACAAATTTATTTCAATTACTGAAATAATCGAGTTCACCGTGGGACTATCCGAAGAACGGAGTGAGGAATCCCTCACTTTTCTTCCTCGATAAGGAAGTTCTAAAAAAATTCGTTTCAACCCTTAAAAAACAAATCACCTAAGCTATATCTGTTAGAATTAAATGCTTGTACGATTTGAGGCGTTTCTACATTTTGGAAACAATTATAAAAAATACATTTCTTTTTTTTTTTTATTAAAAAGTTTAATTTGATATATAGTAAATGAACTATAAAAATGTAATTTTTAATCGAATAAATAAGTAACGGCTAATAAAACAGTAATAAAAGTGAATTTATTACTAAACAGTTCTAATTTCATCATCGAATTGGAACTGTATTGATGATTTTGAGGTTGTAACTGTTTATTAATATTAATTTCGTTTTGAAATTGGTCATTATTATTTTCATTTAATACTTGATCAGTAGTAGTTGGAGTAGCTGGAATAACCCTGCTATCGTCGTCTTCGTCATCATCGATATTTGGATCCTCATCATTAGTAGATGTAGTTTTTTTATGGTTTGATGCGTTATTTGCTATAAAAACATTGGGATCACCGGCACCAAATTTTGTAGAAACGTTATTTGCTTTTTTCTCTTTTTCTTTACCAAATTTTAATGTTGATTTATTATCATCTACTAATTTTGCGCTTTTACCACCTGTTCCTAAACCTTTCGATACTTTTGGATTATTTTTTACTTTAACCGGTGTAATACCTATCTTATCTTGTGCTACCTTAATTCCTTTTGGTTTTGCTATGACTTTAGGATTTTGTATAGGTGCTTTTTTTGGCGCTTTCTTAGTTGTTTCTTTTTCTTTTGGCGCTTTCTTGGGTGCTTCATTTTCTTTAGGTGTATCCTTTGGAGTTTTTTCTTTCGTTTCTTTAGGTTCTTCCTTTGGAGTTTCTTTTTCTTTAGGTTCTTTCTTTGGAGCTTCTTTTACTTCCTTTTCTTTAGGTTCGTCCTTTGGATCTTCCTTTTCTTCCGATTCTTTAGGTTCTTCCTTTGGAGCTTCCTTTTCTTCAGTTTTAGGTTCGTCCTTTGGAGCTTCCTTTTCTTCAGTTTTAGGTTCGTCCTTTGGAGCTTCCTTTTCATCCGTTTCTTTAGGTTCGTCTTTTGGTGCCTCTTTTTCATCCGTTTCTTTAGGTTCGTCCTTTGGAGCCTCAGGTGCAGGTTCTTCTGCTCTAGGGACAACTTTTGGTACATTTCTATGTCCATGATTAAACCCATCACTTTCACCTATGAATGACCAAGTAATGGGTATTTCATTATCATCAGGATTAGCAATTTTACTCAAAACTTCGGGTGACAAGCCCAAATCACCAAAAGAACATGTCGGGCATTCATATTTTACTTTTACTATGGCATTTCCTTTTGGTCCTTTTATTTTAATATGTTTGCCACAGTCATTAAATTGAGCACTATTCTTTGAACGACGAACAGGAATGTCAGATTTTTTTTACGAGAAAGTATTAAAGAAAATAAAAAAAAATCAAAGACTCACTAATGCACAAAACATGTCTTTATCCCCATCACTTTCTCCGCACGCCTTGAAATCCGATTCAAGGAAGAGCATTCCTTGTCCACGAAATGCATTTACAGTATTTAACGTTAATAATGTTATTGACATCAAGAAGAGCATTCGTTTAGACATGTTTACGAAATTTTGTATGGAGAAAGGATAAGCGTCGAGTTATTTCGTTATAGAGAAAAAGGATTAGAGGAATTCGTCGGTAAGATATATGGTAACGAAGGAATAAGGAAAAGTTATGGAGGTGAATGATAAAAAGGAAGGAAATATAACGAAAATAACCAAGATAATGAAGGTGAATTGACGCTTCAATTATAAATTTAAAAGAGTGTAAGATTTTTAATGAAGAGAACGAAGTTGTTAAAAAAAAAGATACATTTACAGGCATAAATATACATGAACATTGTATATCGAAAAAGTAGAGTTAATTGGTTATTTACGTATGACGCAGTTGTGATTCATTCAAAAAAACAAATTTATCTTTCATTAACAACTTTTGGTTCATCATGATGCATCTCATGCATCCCCACCATGCAAATCATTTAACCACACATCACACAATATTTTTTTTTATTTTAATATTTTATCAGCGATATTAGTAACTACCATTTTAAGACTATGTGGTAATCTTGTCAAAAAGTAAGATTTCATTGATCTAAAGTTGCATTACCTTTGACCTATTATTCACCGAATCTGCAAAAACCTTTACCTGACCATTTTTTTTTAAAAAAATGAGAAGTTGTTCCCTTTTGAAAAGTTCTTATGTATGGGAACAATTAGTAATAAAATAAAAATAAAAAAAAAAAAAAGAGGGAATAGTCCTCACTGATTAATATTTATTCGAAATTTCGATCATCCAAAAAAAAAGGGACGTTTATATTTGGTCAAAGGTTTTAATTACTTTTGTTCAAGTATGACCTCGTGAATTGGGCTTATTCACAACAAATGACGGCGGTTTTCGGTGAATGGAAGGTTCAAAATTATTTAAAATTCAAGTTTCCTTTTTTGGTTAGTGAAATGATAAACACCGATCACTCACGAAATGTTTGTGGTCATTCGACTTTATCACACCAAACACTGACAGTACTATTTATATACGCGCGTGTCACGGCATATATTACCTCGGTCGCTCAATCTTTGCTCATGTGCCAGGAAAAAAGGTATACTCGAAGGTGAAAAAAAAAAAAATTTTTTTTTTTTTGTTTTTCGGTAATCACCACAAGGATCATCTCCTCGGAATCGAATATTTTCCTCGTTCGTTTTTTTTGCCGTACACAAAATGTCTTGATCTCTCTCTACTTTTCCTGTCGAACCTTTTTTTTTTTTTTTTTTTTTACGGTTTGAGGTTTGAGTTTTTTTTGTTTCAAGAATTTTCGTCGATTTTTGGAAAAAGTATTATCGTTTCATGATTAATTTAGATGCATCGGACAGACTCGCATTCTTGGGAGGTGATTTTTGGGGGAGGTGAGCTGTGTCAGAGTGTTGGACGCCAAATTGCATTTTAGATTTTGACTTCTTTTTTATTTTATTTTATTTTTTTTTTAAAGTTCATAAATATAAATAAATGGAAGTAAACGGTCCAGAACATTTAGTGTTTATTTATAGTTCGAAATTTGTTTCAAAAAAAAAAAAAAAAAAAAAATGTCAATTTTTCCTGATTGACCCCCCCTCCCCTGACTTTATTGTCGGAAAAAAAAAAAAAAAAGAGAGTAGCGATTGCACCAATCGAATCAAGCAAGCAAAATCAAAAGGCGGTTTTAACTTCGTGATCACTCGGACATCTGACACGCACGCCTGTGGGCGAAATCGCAATCTCTGGTGTCATCCCAAAACAAACAAACAAACAAGCACAAAAACATTAAAAAAAAAAGGCAAACTTTTGCTGCGGTACGCGATTCTTGCTGCGTCTTTGTGCTACGTATCATGAAAAACCTCGTCTGTGAATATTTATTTCTTTTTTTATGAACGAAACGTACAATAAAAAATTCTTAAACCAATAACAAGAGAAAAAAAACGATACAGAAATATCAGAATAGAAAAATGAAGTCATAAACAATAAACACTTAGAAAAGAAAATAAAAAAAAATAATAATAATTAAAAACCATCATAAGTGATAAAAACACGAAAAGAAAAACGATACTAAAAAAAAAAAAAAAAAAAAAATGAAAATGTATTATCAAGGAATACAAATCCATAAACACCTTCAGAATAACGGAAAAGAAAAATAACCATCATAAATGCTTAAAGGAAAAAAAAAGAAAATTTTTTGCGTTGATATTATTATTATTATTATTTGCGGAAATGGGAAAAAATCGTTATCCGTGTCAAGAAAATTACGAACCGATCTTAGTGCCACGATAAAAAAAAAAAAAGAAAATTAGTTAAAACGTTCCGTTTAATTTGGGCCTCTTAAGACCCGACACATATTTTTGTCGACATCTTCAAAAGATAAAGGAACTTGTATGTTCATAGGCGGTGATATCATAGAGGGTGCTCCCTGAAGACCGTATTGATCTTGCTCCGTCATTTTTGGTCTCGCGGATCTCTTTCTTTTGTTCTTGTTTGGTTTATATTCGTAATTAGGATAAAGTATTTTATGAAACTCCCCCGCCAGGTCCGCGATCTTTTCGTATCTATTCCTAACCTCATCCGTTTCACATCTCCAAAGTTCGCCCGCTTTTTTAGAAACTATCGGTAATTTACGTCCAGCCTCTTTTGACAATCTCGCCTGATAGTCTCTTCGATAAATCAAAAAGGAATTTAGGGGTCTCGGGATGCTACTTCTTCGTGCTTTTGGTTTAGGGCTTATTAAAGTTTTTATGGGTAGGGTAGTGGGTGCGTAATTGTTCCTTACAAAACTTTCTACCATTATATCAATTTCCTGGTGAAAGTCGTGCATATGTGGTTCATTATGAATGCACGGACGATATGAATCATATAGATGATATGAATTGTTGTAGGGGTGCGCTCTAACGTTATACATTGAGATGTTAAAAAAATAATAATAGAGACGTGAAAACGTGAATAGCAAGGAATAATAAGTGGGAATAAAAAGTAGGTAAATGTTGGGGAATGATACGGATTTCGTCAAAACTGGTGCTGCTTTTATACTCCTTTTACTCCTTTGTATTCGGTTAATAACCCAATTTTAACTTAATCAAAGGTTAATTAAATAAAAAAAAATTTTTTTTTTATAAGCATAATAATAATAATAATTATTATATTATACCACGTATATAATAATCGATATAAATATATAAATGAAAGCTAAAAAATTTTATTACTAAACAAAAATAAACAAAAAAAAAAACGTGCCCTAAACAAACATGTATAAATAAATTTATTTTATACACAAAATTTTTTTTTTCTCATGAGAATAAAAGATTGTTGTATTGTTTGACAATTGCGTTTCATTTTTTAAATCTTAATTGACTTGATTGATTTCTTGATTTCTGAACAATTGACCAAAAAAAAAAAGGAGGAAAAAAAAAATTTTTTTTTATGTTATTTTGAAGTGTGAAGATTCTTTCACTTGTGTCTCTTTTTTTTTTTTTGAATCAAAAATGGGAAATAAAAAAGTTTTTTTTTTTTAATAATAAATAATATAATAATAAAAAAATAAAATATTATGTATATAATAAAATAATTATAAATACATGAAACAAACGGGGAGCGTCCATTCATTTGAAAAAGGAGCCAAATATTTATGATTGGTAGGATGATTTACGATTTATTTTTAAACATTTCTCAATTTTTACTAGGTTGACAGACAGTGAATTTGACATCATTCCTTCGAAGGAAGATCGGAAACAAAACATGAAACGAAAAATCGGTCAAATACAATTAAATTATAATTACACAACAAAGAAAGCCTTTTGTTAAATAATCAACCACACTCCAAATGTTACGTCGATCGCCTAAACCGATTTCGGTTGGTTTGTAAAACTGATCATCAGCTCCCGGAATATTGAATTTTCGGTCCAAATCCCTTGGATCATGTCAAGTCTAAATGATGATGAGGATCTTATATCACCGATCGCCGTAATCACTTTGCATCCATTTATGGCATCTTAGTACGCTTATCATCCAATGAATCATGCCCCCCTTCATTTGTTTTGGTAATGATGATATATCGCGGGAAACCCGCCATTGAGTTTTATATAATACGAATGCATACCTTATTCTTTTGAGACATCTCTCTTTTGACGGAAAATGACAGATTAGCCACTTTTCTATGGTATGTATTGAGATGGTTACATTTTGATCTTATGTAATTTATTTTGCTTTTGCGAATACAACAAAAACTCCATAAATTAAAGTTCATATTACGTTAGGGTGTTACAATACAAATACATGGATTATCAGGGGAAAATAAATAATTTCCTCTTCTGCAAATTTAATAAATGAAATCACAAAAAAAAAGTAAATACTAGGTATAACGAAACAAAAAAAACAAGGTATTATTAGCAAATTTTCACCGGAAGTTCTTCTTTCAACAATGGTGTATTAAAGGATGAGAATAATGTTAATCGATTTCATGACCCAAACTTTTTTTTATTTCCTTTTAGATCCATGTTACTTCGTCGCCTGATAATTGATTTTATCATTTGTGTCATTTGTTGATAATCTCCCGGAATTTTCATTGAAGAATCAATGTCGACACCTGCTTCATTGTTATTATGTTGAGGATTATTAATTCGTGAACCTTGTGATGACTTTCTGAAAGCAGTTACTCGACAACGTTATCGTCTAACAGGTCTGTGTACCTTCTATATCAAGCATGAACACGTAATCTCTATTAAGGATTTTTTTTGATTTGGACAAATTGTTCGGTTTTGATTGTGACAGATTTAAACATTTTGTAACGTATCATTATATAATTCGCATCGGATTTTACGTTTAAATTATAATTCATATGTGGTAATTGTTTACGAATTTAGCAATAAAAATGCGTGCCACCATTAAAAGAAGGAGATTAGATCCACAGCACAGTAAGATTAAGCCATGTTTATTCTAATCAGAAAATGTGACAATACTCAGGATTACCGTAATAAGTTAACCTAGTTATTTTCGTACCTGAGTCCCAAGTTTTTCATTTCCCAAAAGGACTTCTTTTTATCCT